TCTTTTTTTTAATGTATTTTCTGTAATTTAGGTCCTTTTTGTTCTCTCTTAGTGTTTAGTACATTTTTAAAATGCTAGTCTGGTCAGCTGTGCTAAGAGGAACCAAGAAAGAGGTTTTTGTCGAGTTTGGACCAGAGTTTTAAAGGGGAAGCGGCTTAGCGGCCGCCTGACAAGGTGGAATGCTCTTGTCCAGTGAGAGCACCTCAAAGGGAAGGTGAACCGAGAGTAGCTGAGTTGGAAACCCTGGTTCAGACGCTGTGTTTATAAAATCTGGAGCCATCTCTCCATCCCCACTGTCTGTTACTCCCCAGTGGCCCAGACAAGAGGCAAGAAGGGGCCTCAGTGAACAATGAGAAGGAGCTGTGCCCTGAGGCTGGTGGCCCAGGGCTGAGAAGGTGGGTGACTATGGCATTTGCCTAGTCAATGGAACCTGCAAATAGAAAACTGGTCTTAGTCTGAGGATGGAGGAGGGGGATTCAACGTGAACTTGGACCACGGGGTGCAGAATACTCAAGCAAGCAGGTTACTGAAACTTTTGTCTAGTTAATGCAGGAGAGGACGCACAGACTCAGGCTGCTGAGGAAAGGGATAAGTGAGGGCTACTAGGCTGGCACAGCCCCTGAAGCAAACTGGGGCACGGGACGGAGCCCAGGTGGATAGCTAGAATCCAAAGCAGAGATGAGGAAAGAACAGGCCGTTAGCATGCCAGGACTGGAGGTAGGGGAAGGCTGCTGGTGGTGTCAGGATGACTGGGTACCACCCAGACATCCTGGCCGTGAGGTTTGGAGGAGCTGAATCATTCCAGAGCCCACCCAGGCCTGGTTCTCTAGGGCAGCTGCTGCTGACCTTTGGCAGCTATAGATGGGTAGACCTGGGAACGGGGGTGGCCACTCTCATTGCCACAGTCCGGGCTCAGACCTGCCCTCACAGTCTGCTCCGCTTATCTGAAACCCAGGAACATGTCAAAACCTGGTGGCTTCAAACAACAACAGTGGTTTATTTTGCATTTCAGGCAGGGCAGGGCAAGGCAGGGACCACTCTGCTCCATATCTCTGAGCCCAAGACTCAAACGGCTGGGGACAGCAGGAGACTGGGGGCAGCAAGAGGCTGGCAGGGCATCACCCCATGGTCTGTTCACTCCAGCTTGGAGGCCTCAGGGTAGCGGGGCTTACTGATGGCTCCAGCACCAAGAGCTACTACTTCCAGAAACTGCAAGTGTTTATGATCTATCTTCAGAAGTTCCAGGACATGGTGATTTAGTGCTTTCCATCCCTAAATCCAGCCCAAGTTCAAGGCAAACGGTATAGACCCCTCCTCTCAATAGTGCTGTGTGTGCTGCCCTAAATTGCTTCAGTCACGTGCAACTCTTTGCAACCCCACGGGTTGTAGCCTGCTAGGCTCCTCTGTCCATGGGATTCTCCAGGCAGGCATACTCAACAGAAGGCGTATCAAAGTTTTTGCCACCATTTTTAATGCATTATAGCATCTCACCAAGTGGTCAGCAGTTTGCAAGCGGAACCTCCAGGTCCCAGATTCTCACTGATGGCAGCTGGGAGGCAGCAATGCACTTGGCAGAGAAGGGAAGGGCTTTGGAAGTCACCAGGCCTGCATTCTGGTTCAGGCAGAACTCTGGCTCTACCACCCAGCAACTGGTTGGGCTGGTTAGGTTACTCGCCCCTAAGAGCCCTGTGGTTTCCTTGTGTATAAAAGAGGGCTAATACTACCATAGCGGCCAAGAAAATGTACTTCTCAGGTGGTGCACAAGTGGCCAATGGCCCCAGCTGCCGAGCCCTAAAATCTGTCATCTGGTTCTCATCCCCAGCTTGGTGCAGAGAGACCATTTCCTAGTGCTGCTCCCAGCCCATGACTAAATACAAGAAGCCTATTCCTGGGAGGTGCTGGGCTCCTGGGACAGGGCAGCTTGGCTTGAGGACTCCCCCAAGGCCTTGTTGAACTTTCTTACTGCTTCACTGTAGCATAAGATGCTTCCTGCAGCTCAACCTTCCTTCCTCACCTCTCTCCTTCACAAAGGCCACACATGCACTCCAGGTCCAACTCCCCGGCCCTGTTCCCTCATAAATCTCTATAGCAGTGCTCCCCTCCAGATGCTTGGGGTGGGGGGTGGAGGGTCAGGCCAAAGAGCAACCAGGCTGCTGCAGGTATTAAATAGGTGTGTGAGCACCTAGTCAAGGCCTGGGGTATGGCTGATGTTCATTCAGCTGATATTTATTGAGTCTCTGCTGAGTGAGGACTTTAGCTGGGGTGACTGGAACACACTGGTGAGCAAAGCAGATGAGAATATGAGGGCCCCCTGCTTGAAGCTTCTTGCTGACCCCAATGCGGACAGATAAAGTCCCAACTCTCCTACGGGACACAAGAGTCCCTCAAAGTCTGACCCCAAGGGACCTCCATACCCTCACCCCACACTGCACACCAGAGCCTAGAGTCAAAAATGACTTTCCTCTGGCAATCTCGGATTTTTCACCCCCAATGTCTTTTTTTTTTTAAGTTTTTAAAAACTTATTATTAATTATTAAATCTTAATTATTCTATAGAATAATTCAGTTCAGTTCAGTTCAGTTGCTCAGTTGTGTCCGACTCTTTGTGATCCCATGAAGCGCAGCACACCAGGCCTCCCTATCCATCACCAACTCCCGGAATTTACTCAAACTCATGTCCATCAAGTCGGTGATGCCATCCAGCCATCTCATCCTCTGTCGTCCCCTTCTCCTCCTGCCCCCAAGCCCTCCCAGCATCGAGGTCTTTTCCAATGAGTCAACTCTTAGCATGAGGTGGCCAAAGTACTGGAGTTTTAGCTTCAGCATCAGTCCTTCCAATGAACACCCAGGACTGATCTCCTTTAGGATGGACTGGTTGGATCTCCTTGGAGTCTTCTCCAACACCACAGTTCAAAAGCATCAATTTTTCGGCACTCAGCTTTCTTCATAGTCCAACTCTCACATCCATACATGACCACTGGAAAAACCACAGCCTTGACTAGACGGACCTTTGTTGGCAAAGTAATCTCTCTGCTTTTTAATATGCTATCTAGGTTGGTCATAACTTTCCTTCCAAGGAGTAAGCGTCTTTTAATTTCATGGCTGCAATCACCATCTGCAGTGATTTTGGAGCCCCCAAAAATAAAATCTGACACTGTTTCCACTGTTTCCCCATCTATTTCCCATGAAGTGATGGGACCAGATTCTATGATCTTAGTTTTCTGAATGTTGAGCTTTAAGCCAACCTTTTCACTCTCCTCTTTCACTTTCATCAAGAGGGTTTTTAGCTCCTCTTCACTTTCTGCCATAAGGGTGATGTCATCTGCATATCTGAGGTTATTGATATTTTTCCCGGCAATCTTGATTCCAGCTTGTGCTTCTTCCAGCCCAGCATTTCTCATGATGTACTCTGCGTATAAGTTAAATAAACAGGGTGACAATATACAACCTTGACGTACTCCTTTTCCTATTTGGAACCAGTCTGTTGTTCCATGTCCAGTTCTAACTGTTGCTTCCTGACCTGCATACAGGTTTTTCAAGAGGCACGTCAGGTGGTCTGGTATTCCCATCTCCTTCAGAATTTTCCACAGTTTATTGTGATCCACACAGTCAAAGGCTTTGGCATAGTCAATAAAGCATAAATAGATGCTTTTCTGGAACTCTCTTGCTTTTTTGATGATCCAGTGGATGTTGGCGATTTGATCTCTGGTTCTTTTGCCTTTTCTAAAACCAGCTTGAACATCTGGAAATTCACTGTTCATGTATTGCTGAAGTCTGGCTTGGAGAATTTTGAGCATTACTTTACTAGCGTGTGAGATGAGTGCAATTGTGCAGTAGTTTGAGCATTCTTTGACATTGCCTTTCTTTGGGATTGAAATGAAAACTGACCTTTTCCAGTCCTGTGGCCACTGCTGAGTTTTCCAAATTTGCTGGCATATTGAGTGCAGCACTTTCATAGCATCATCTTTCAGGATTTGAAATAGCTCAACTGGAATTCCATCACCTCCACTAGCTTTATTCCTAGTGATGCTTTCTAAGGCCCACTTGACTTCACATTCCAGGATGTCTGGCTCTAGAATAATTATGTCTATACAAACAATTTTTTCTATAGAAATAATGGAGAGACCTCTAGCATGGTTGATCAATACAATTCTTTTTTTCCACCCCCAATATCTTATCACAGCTTTTTCTTCTCCAAAAGCTTCCCCCCTCCTTTGTACACACCCTTCACATGACAAACCCTTACCCAGCCCCTACGACCAGTTTAGTCGTGGGGAGCTAGATCACCCGGGTAGAGGTGCTTGCTGGCACAGATCTCCTCATGCACCTCGTAAAAGCACTAGTTACATTGTGTTTTAATTGCTGTTAACAGTGTCCCGCTAACTTGTGAGCTCGCATAGGTAGCAGGGACAGCGTGTATCCATCCTGAATTCCCGCAGTTCGTATCTGGGGAGAGGGGAGAGACGCGGAGAGCAGGCGATTTTCCCGCGGTAACCGCGGGGCCTGCGGCGAGAGGGCGGGGGCATCGCCGGGCGAGGGTCAGGGAGCCGTCGGTGCTGGGCGGACCCCGGGAACGGCCGCGGGGCGCTCGGGCCGAATCGCGGCCGCCGCCGCGGGGCACATGACTGCGGGCTCAGCCTCCGCCCCGCCCGCTTCCCCGCGCAGCTGCCGCCTGTCGCCTCCCGGGGCTGCGGTGTGCCTGGCCGGCGAGCGTCTCCGCGCTGCGCGCTCCCTCTGCCTCGCGAGCTGCGCCAGGCGGGCGCCGCGGCGGCCCCGGCCGGGGAAAGCGAAACCAAAGCGGGACTCCCACTCCCCTCCGGCCGGCCGGGTGCAGGCGGGGCCGCGATCGCCCAGTCGCAGAGCCGGGAGCCGGGCCCCTCGGCTGGGCCGCGGGCGTCCGAGGGTCCCGGGTCTTCCGGCCGCTCCGGCGGAGCCCCTCCGTCTCTCCGTCCTTCCTTCTCATCCGGTCGGCCACCGCCCGGCCCCGGAGCGGTGCGCGGAATGGGCAGGTGCTGCTTCTACGCGGTGGGGACGCTGTCCCTGCTGTTGCTGGTGACCAGCATCACGCTGCTGGTGGCCCGAGTCTTCCAGAAGGCCGTGGACCAGACGATCGAGAAGGTGAGGCGTGGCGAGCTGTGTGTGTGTGTGTGTGTGTGTGTGTGTGTGTGTGTGTGTGAGCGCGCGCGCGCGGGGGAGCGCGTCGAGTGGGGTTGGGGGGACACTTCCAGCCCACCCTCCCGCTGCTGAGCCTTGTGCAGGGTGGATCTGCACCCCTTATAACCCTAGTCCAGAGGCTAGGGCCCTGCTTTCTTCCTTGTCTTCTTGGGCTGGGTGGGTAAGAGTTAAAGAAGGCTGGAGAGAAATAATTCTGTTCCTTTTAGAGTAATAAACAAGACTGTGGGTCTGGACTTTGAAAGAAGGCTTTCACTTCCATTCTGTCATTTGTTTTCTGGGCCCTCCCGGCGCCCCAATCTCTGTTGGGCCCAAACTCATTTCCCTCCCACTTTATGAAGAAACAAACTAAATGAAAGACACTGCAACCCCGCAGGTGTGTTGGCTGCTTGCCCTGGCCTTTGAAGTGGTGTGAGGTGGGGATGAGAGGCGGGTGCCTCGTCTGTGTGCCTGCCTCCCTGGGCTGAGCCCCGCACTTGGTAGCCAGGCCAGGCCTCTGGGCCGGGTGACATTTCAGTTCATCAGAGCCTGTGCTGACTAGCTGACTTAGCAGCCTGGTGTCTTGTACCAGAAGTCTGTGTTCCTTTGTCTCACCATGGATTTCTTGCTCTTCTCAAACAACCCTAAGCTTAGGCAAAGCTGCATTTAAATTTTTAATCTGAGCCCATCTCTTCCTCTCAGATGAGTGGGCTGGAGAGCTGGTCACTTCAGGCCTCTCCATCCTATGATTTCACCAGCGGTCATTTCTCCTGCCCTTTCACCGACATTCACCAATCTGTGTGGAAAGAGGAACCAGAGAGAGTTACTGAAGTCACTTTTTCCTTTTAAAAAAGTTATCGGAGAAGCCTTTCTTGTTAGCACCCATCACCACCTGGTTTCTCCCACTTGTTTACACTTGCCTCTGGCCAGATAATAAAAGCTGGGGCCTCCTCCAAAATTGATCCAATTAGCATAATTGTTTCATTCCGGGTGGTGACAGACCTATTTTTTAAATAGAGGTTTCTAAAAGCCATCAATTACTTGAAATCTGAAGCAACTTAAAAAAAAAATGCCATGGCAAAGCACAGTTTAATTTTTTAAAAGTTCACTTTGCCAAGGGGTGACAGGACCCACTGTCTGAGCTTCTCAAAGGCCATTGTTCAAAGCATGTTCAGAGAAAAAACTAAATCGAATCTCTCCACTCTTGTCCACCTGCAAATCCATGGCAAGGTAGTTTAAGGATGTAACCTCTTTAAGGATGTAACCTCTTGTGTGGGTGTCTAGAGTTAAGCAATCCAATGATAGTCAGTTGGATTTTCTTGAGTGGCTTTGAAAGGCTGTTTCAGGAGAGGTCTGTGAGATGGGTGATGTCCCCATCCTGTGCCTCAGGTATTGTCAGTCTTTGGATGCTCTGTGGGTCTGCATTCATGGGCAGTGGGTCGGGAGGTGGCGGGGGTGGAGGGCAGTTGTAAGGCAGCTGGGCTGGGGCTTAAGTTTGCACTGATATTTGGTGATTGGCTTTTAAAGGTGGTTTTCTCCATGAAGAATGGACTCTGATCTGACTGTTAAATGAAAGTACAGGAGAAGTGACCTTTCAGAATGGCCTCACCCTGTTAAGGGACACTGCACCAGGTGGTGTGTGAAACGGAATGACAGGGCTAGGTGTGGACAGGTGTGGAACTATGGGAAGGCAACCAGAGGTCACGCATTGCCTGTATTACCACTCCGCTTTCCTGGGTCGCCTGTAGGGGGGGTAGCATGAGATGGTGGAAAGGGTAAGGACTTTGCAGTCAATTCACAGTCATGAATCCGGCTCCACCGTGTACTAGCTGGGTAACCTTAGGCTAGTACTTAACCTTTCTTAATTCTAGGCTTTTCCATCTGTAAATGAGGATAACAACTATTCGTGTAAATAGAAGAATTATAAGAATTACTAGAGAAAATGGTTGTACTTTTCATGGGATACAGTAGTACTATAGTTATTTGTAGGGCTTCCCTGGTGACTCAGCAGTAAAGAATCCGCCTGCAGTGCAGGAGACATGGTTTCAATCCCTGGGTGGGCAAGATCCCCTGGAGAAAGGAATGGCAACCCACTCCAGTGTTCTTGGCTCGGAAATTCCATGGACACAGGAGCCTGGAGGGCTCCAGTTCATGGGGATGCTAGAGTCAGACACGGCTTAGCGACTAAACCACCACCACCACCACCACCATAGTTATTTGTAAATGATAGCAGTTTTATTTTTGTTAGAAGCAAATAAAAAATACATGAGATTGGAGATTAGACACCCTATGTTCAAATCCTAACCCTGACATTTCTAGGCTCTTTGCCTTTGGGCAAGTTACATAACTTCCCTGAACCTCAGTTTCAATCCTGAGAGAAATGAGGACGTTAGCCATCCTGGGGGTGCATTTACCATGAAACTCACAAAGCTTACACTTTGGGTCCCTCACTTGCACGGGCCCTTCCAAGGCCCTCCACCTAATTCTGTATCCAACGTTTTTTTAGGGACAGCCTCCATACCTTGTATGAGCTTCACACAGACCATGGATCTGCCTGTGTGTGTGCTGTTGTGAAAATGAGTGAGGTCACCTGTGTAAAGCACTAAGCATAGTGTTAGGCTTGGAATAGGTGGCCAATTATAGCTGCCATCATTATTTCCATTAATGTTGTTATGGAAAATTCATTCATAACTTACTTTAATATACTTGTAATACAATCTGATATTCCTAGTTCTTAATTTTTTTCCTTTGAAGATTGTCCATGTCCTGCTTTGTCTACATCAAAAAGTGGAGAGAGAAAAAGGATGAAAATCAAATGAGTAGGTTGGGCTAATTGTGAGCAGCTTAGTAACATAATTCCTATTAGAAGACTCTGGCTCATTTGATAATTGTCTGTGAGCCCCACAACAGCCAGCGATGACTGAAGGGAGATTTTGATCTCAGCTGTTGAGTAGAGTGGAAGGAACCAAGACAGTCTGGTCCCATTCTTGGCTTGTTATAGTATGCCGTACATTGAGAAAGCCCTGTAATTGTTTCTGTTTGTTTTTGTGAAGTCACTCAGTCATGTCTGACTCTTTGTGACCCCATGGACTTAACCAACCCGGCTCCTCTGTCCATGGGATTTTCCAGGCAAGAATACTGGAGTGGGTTGCCATTTCTTTCTCCAGGGGATCTTCCCGACCCAGGGATCAAACCTTCATTTACTGCATTGGCAGGTGGATTGTTTACCACTGAGCCTCCAGGGAAGCCCAATTGTTGTTCTTTACTTTTCTCAATTGCAGAAGAGGCAGAGAAATTTTTCCCATTTTGGCTACTCACACCGACATCCTGGAGGATACTCTGAGCATGGGCCAGGCCCTCTTTGTTGAGCATTTTGACCTCCCTGAAGACAGAGCTTTGCAGGGACCCAGCAATCTATTTTTCTGTTTAGAACCTGGAAGGGCAGGGTTTTATGTTACATTTCATCTGGTAACCCCGCTAATTGTTCTGGCAACTAGGGCAGTGCCTGGTATGTGATGGGTGCCTGCTGCCTCACTTCTAATTGTTTTAGTTGAAAGAAGAGTGTCCTAAGAATCCACAGAGCTTGGTGAAAACTCCTTTTTTTGGTCACTAACAAATACTTGGATTAAATTGGACAAGCCAAGTAGCAAATTATTGAACCCCTCAAAACCTCAGGTTCCTCATCTTGAAAATGGGGATCATAAGAATACCTATCTTTGAGTTGTTGCAAGAATGAAATAAAAGGATCGATGTAAAGCATATAGTACAGTCCCTTCCTGGTGCCTGAATTTGTTATCCTTATTTGTATAGGCAACATATTTGCACAGCCGGCAATAAACATTTGTTATTGTTTCCAGCTGTTCTTTTCACAGACAGGAACTAAAGAGTAGATAAAGGTCCTTCTAGCTCCAAAATTCTGAGATTCTATGACACAGGTACGTGACCTGTGCCCGAGAGCAACTCAGCAGCGCAGGATATTAAATTTGCCTTTCGGCTTGCTGACAGTTTGAATATCTCCCAGAAATGAGGGCGCAAGCTGGCCAAGGGCAAAGTTGGCTAATAAGAGATGGGCTGGCAGGGGAAGCAGCAAGAGGGCAAGAGACTGTTGACACTTTGCTTCCTATTCATAGACTGAGGAAGGACGACAGCCTTAGGGTTCAGGGATGAGAGGAACATGACGGAGTCACCTACCCTTCACTGGAAACCTGAGGCCCTGGGCAAATTCCAGCTGGCCTGCTCAGGGAGTGAGAGCAACCTTGGAGCTTGAAGAGATAAAATATAATCCCTGACAGTTTAACCAAATAACACTGATTGGTGAAGCTATGTGATGTTTTTAAAGAGTCAAATGAGGAAAACATCTTCATTTTTGTTTCTATAAAGACAATCAACTATATATAATCTTCAAGGGCTCCTTCTTGCCTAGCAACCCCATTTCCTGATTTGCCTCTCTTCAGGGTTATAAAGACATAGAATCTTAGAGTAGACATCACTTAATCTGTTATTTTCTAGTCAAGAAAACTGAGACTGTAAATTCGAATATGGATAGTGGTGGGTATCAAATTAGGAGCTTCCAGGAAGCGCTAGTGGTAAAGAATCTGCCTGCAATGAAGTAATCTAAGAGATACAGTTTCGATCCCTGGGTCAGGATGATCCCCTGGAGGAGAGCATGGCAGCCCATTCCCGTATTCTTGCCTGGAGAACCCCATGGATAGAGGAGCCTGGCGGGCTACAGCCTGGAGTCGCGAAGAATTGGACATGAATGAAACGACTTAGCATGCATACACATATTAGGGTGTTGAATTACCTTTATGCCTATATGACCCTGGAAACGTAGAGAAGTGACTTATCAAAGACCACATGATGAAGTTAGGTGCACAAACTGGGTCTTCTAGTTCACTTTTCCCATCCTGAAGGTGATCATAGATCCCCATTGCCTGTGACAGTTCTGGCTTATTTACACCTGCTAT